GTGTGTGTGTGTGTGTGTGTGTGTGTGTGTGCAGTTGAATCTGTGTAAGTTCACCACTAAAAACATTTGCGTTAGCTGAGGTCACTGTGAAAACTCTGTGCGCTGTCCATGGTGCTGAAATGAAACGTTGAGTGACTGTTAAAAAACAAAGAAAAAAACTTTATTAAGAAAAAAAAAGCAGGTTTGTTAACCTTAAAGCGCTGATTGGAATAGAAGCAAACAGCACAATTAAGAATTCCTGAACCTGTTGTCCATCAGGTTCTGATCGTTTTCAGGGCAGGATCCAAAGTCAGTGTCAGGAGTTGCCACCAAATCAATGCACTGTTTTTATTGTTAAATTTAAACTCAATGAGCAGTAAACTGTGTGTTGCAAACATTAGTACAATTAGACGAGTGAAACAAGTTTGCACACTTGATTTAAATAGTCTCCGCCCTATTTTTTGTACCTTGAGAACAGTACAAAGCCTATGATTTATGGTCCACAATCATAGGCTAGTAATGTTAAGATATAAAACATACACTGCTGCATCTCCTTATTTGACTGCAATGACACCCTCGTTTTCCTGGTTATTTTTCTGTATTGTTTCTACAGTTTCACTTTCACTTTTTTAACCAATGCTATCGCCCCCTGCTGGTCATTAAAAAGAATGTTGTTTTAGGCAGTTTTGCATTGGCTGCCATTTTCAGAGTTACCTCCTTGTAAAAGTCTAATCTCTGAATATTTGAACCAAACCTGTGTCCAAAAAACTTTAGTGTTTGAGTCATTTCAGCTGGGATTAGTATTTCCACAGCTAGCTCTGCTGTTTGTAGTTCAGCAGCTGCTTCACTCACAAAACAGTCATCCAGTATTACTAAAAAAGTGTCTTTTCTTTAGAAAAGATTTTGTTGGAGAGACATCACTAATCCTGGAAACTATTGATCTTCTTTTGATAGTCTTTTGATACTCCTGTGTGCTTTTCAGCTGTTTCTTGTCTAATTTTAAGTAAGTTATAAATGAACAATTAACCCTTAAATTTGACTGAAGACTGTAAAGTTGTTTATTATCATTTCTAGACCTTCTTCTGTTCATATTTCTACATGAAAGTATTTTTTTTTCTATATTTTTTTCTTTGTGTTGGGTCTCTGCATCCTCCATTGTGACATTTCTTTTTCACATTTCACTCCCTCAGCCCTTTCTCCTTCTCTCTGTTGTCTCCTCTCTCATGACTTCTGTTCAGTGTCTTCCTCTCTGTTCGTTTCCTATCGTCTTCTTTCCTCTCTTCCCCACCGTCTTCCTCATCTCTCCTTTGTCTTTAATCTCGTTCTCCTTTATACCCTTTGATTTTCAGGTTGACAATTGAAAAAGCAACATCCCTCTCCTCTTGTGCGCTGTCTGTCTTTCTTCTGTGTGTATATTCACTCTACTTCAATTTTTTACCTCAGTTTTTGCTTTTCGTATTATTGGAAACCATGAACATTGTGTTAGACTTCTACTTCTCATTCTCTTCAGCAAATCGGGAACAGAAATCATTACACCCAGAAAAGCTGCGATCCGTATCAGTGATGTGTTTCTGAGAACCAACAAGTGTTGATTAGACAGCAAAGATCTGCGATGTCATCGCTGTGCTTATTTCGGTGTTGAGCTTTCCAAAAGCAGGAAACATATAGAGCTGACACACCTGACCAGGGGGTATCGTTAAGAGTATATGGAACAACCAGTGTGTTCATGAGGAACAGAGCAAAGGAGAGCATGGGGAGGAAGGACAGACTATGGGAGAGAGAAGACGAAATTTAATGACATACATCAGTGATATATGAGTGAAAAGAGGTGAGAGGAGATGAAACGCTCAGTGCATCATAGGATCCTCCAGCAGCCTGAGCCTACAGCAGCATTGCTGACCTACTTTAGGGTCACCTGATCCAGTGCTACCTATAAGCTTTATCAGGAAATGGTCATGTTAAATCTCCTTTGAAAACTAAAGAGGGAGTGTGTGTGTCCTGAATCCAAACTCAGAGCTGGAGAGGGAGGGGGGCTCAGATAGCTGAAATCTCTGCCTCACATCCTACTTTCAGAAACTCCAGAAACACAAGTAAGCCAGCAATCTCAGAGTGAAGTGCTCGATTGGGATAATATGGTACTATGAGGTCTTTAAGATATAATGGGGCCTTATTATTCAAGACTTTGTGTGCAAGGAGAAGGATTTTAAATTAAATTCTGGATTTAACAAAGAGCCACCAAAGAGAAGCTGATATAGGGGGAATGTGATCGCTTTCTTTTTTTTTGGAACAACAAGATAATAATAAATTACAACAGTCCACCACATACAGCAGAGTAGCATCAGCACTTAAAATGTCACAAAATTAATAAACAGTGTGCTCATATATTTTTAGTTCAGGGTGTTGTTGTACTAAGAATGGACTGCTACTGCCTGACGGCCTTTAGTAATCCACAGTAGCAGTTTAGTGCTTAATTTATAGGTATGTGTCTACAGATGAGATGTTTGTTTTTTTATCATAGATAAATGATTATCTGTGGTCTAGCTCTTTCCTTTGAAACATCAATCTGTCCATCTATCTTCTGACTCTGGGTCTGAGTCACAAGGACTTCAGTCTAAGCAGAGATGCCCAGACTTCCCACTCAGCTCGTCACACTCAGATACTGAGATACGTCTAAACCAAAAGACATCCAGTCTGTCCCGAGTCTGCCCCAAAATTTCTTTCAGGTTTAACATGCCTGAAGCAACTCACCAATAAAGTATCCAGGAGGCAAAATGTCCAGATATCTGAACCACCTCAGCTGTATTTTTTGGTGTGAAAGACTCACAGCTCTGAATGATGTCTACTCGCTGATGCCGAGTGTAGACGCCTTTCTGAGGAAGCAAAAGTTTCTCGTGTGGCCCAGATCATCTGGATTTCTGGATTCTTCAGAGTAGAACTGCAATAAAGAACCAGCTCTACCTTAACTCTCAGCTCTCTCCACCATTACAGCCAAATACAGCATTCATTGGAGATGCTGAACCAATCGCCGGCTTTAAAATGCATTTCAAAAAGGTTATCCAGCCTTGTATCATCTAAATAAGATTCATCTCTAGAATTAAACTCATAGAATCAAACCTGTAAAAGGTCATTCATGCATTCATTTTCTCAAGGCATGACTACTGAGGTTCATTTTTACCTCAAATTAGTTCATAAGGCAGCAGCTCAGCTCCTTATTTGATTTAGCGTCACATCAACTCTGATCATTGGCTCCGTGGATGTTTTTAGAATTCATTTTAAAGTTCTGCTTCTCACCTCTCGTGGCTTTGTGGCTGTTATTTTACTTTGTGTGCATTCCTCTCTTTGCTTTTCTGTTAGACTACTTTGTACACTCTGTTTTTGAAGGTCCTACATTAATTAAGTTTATTATAATAAATAATCAGTTTGGCAGTTTTGGAAAAAAGATATTAACAAAGTTTTGACAGGAAAATGTTCCAATTTCATTTCTTTTTGGTTTTTACCCTGAGGGTTTTTAAAATGCTCTGGACTGTGCAGGCTTTTCTTTCAGGAGAGCTGCACTAAAGATAATAAAGGTTCATGACTTTATGCTTACCAAAGTTCAGGCTCAACTTCCACTGGAGCGCAAATGTAACATGAGGGTGGTGAGGCTGCCAGTGTGAGGAAGGTTGAGTCGTTTTCCACTCATTTACAGTGAACATATTTTTGTAATATACAATAAGTTTTATTGGGAAGCTTCTGTATGTGGAAGAAAAACCTTGAATATTTTGTGGTAATGAACGGATTTGCATCAGAGCTCAGTTCATAGTTTCAGCCTGGTTATCCGTCGTAGTGAAAAGTGAAAGGAATGTTTTGATGCCTTTGGTGTTTAAACTGACCTCAGTGGGGTTTACTGTGCTGTCTTTTCTGTGTATATTCAAATTAGCGTGATAATCCTGAGTTTCTTGCTTCATCTTTCGAGTTATTAACTGACACCAGGCCCTTTACTATTGAAGGTAACTCACAACGGGTAAACATTTCAAAGGAAAAGTCTAAAAATGCTACAAGAAATATTGTGATCTTTTCTCTCTTTACACCAAAGGCAGGGAAAAACAATCAAATTGTCTTTCTGTCTTTCAGGATGATCCCAGCTAACCACAAGTACTTCCAGCTGAGTGATCTGGCATCATCGCGGGATTACGAGCTGTGCGTTTTGGCCGTGTACGATGATGGCATCACCGCGCTGACAGGCACTAAGCTGGTGGGCTGTGTGTCCTTCACAACGGAGTCAGAATACGGACGCTGCCACTCTATACGAGACCAGGTTAGTGTGCTGAGGTGTAGCAGGTGTCTGATCAGCTGTTACTCCAGTTGATAACTGATCAGACTTCTGCTGAATCATATATAGTTGATGAGCTGTCTGCTTCAGAGCACTGTCTCACTAATCAGTGATAAATGACGAACATGCATGTTGTAAATTATTGAGAAACTCAGAGAGGACCACTGTAGTTTGTTGTTTTTATCTGGAGCTCATTTCAAGTTTGCCTGCAACATGTGATCAAAAACCTGTCATCTCAAGGAATTCTGTATTGGAGAACATTAGTATTTGTTTTATGGATCTGTTTTTGGAAAGCAACAGATCGCCAATACAGAGAAATGAAGACACCAATAACAACAGAACATGGAACTGGATACATCAGACCATGTGAAAGGAGCAACAGGGGTCAGGATGGGTTACAGTGTAGCTTGTAGATGTGTCACAATCATGGGCAACTAAAGGAAAATGTTGTAGATGATATCAGATCTTTTTCTTCATAAAGGATCGCTGTTTCCAGCTGATAAATTAGGAATTTGACAATGTAAAAAGACAACAAAAGACCTGTGACATGGTTCAAAATCAGCAGCAAGCTTACTTTTAATTTAAAAAAATAAAAATAAAAATGGCCACCGATGTTTCCGAGGAAGATGTCATTTTTTCGTCACCCTCTAGAATTAGTGAAAATAAGAGTCGAGGATTTTTCCTTCTGTTAGTCCTACATGTGATCGTTGTAAACTTGGAGAAGGCTCTCTTATTCGTTTATTTTGGACATGTCCCAAACTCTACAATTACTGGCTCGCAGTGTGTGAATGTGTGCGTGAATGGGTGGATGACTGGATATGTAAAGCGCTTTGGGGTCCTTAGGGACTAGTAAAGCGCTATATAAATACAGGCCATTTACCATTTACCATGGATATCTTTAAATGTTTATATGTTTCTCCAATATGTACAATTGCACATTAGAGCCGGACCCAATAACTGCATTGTTTGGATCTTCCTCTTCCCTCCTGCGCCTCAGCCCTGCTGCACAAACTACAGTTTTATTCGTAATGGTAGTTGCTAAGAAAATGATTATGACCCTCTGGAAGTCTGACACTGTGCCTCAGATCAAAATGTGGTTAGCAGAACTGACTGCTTTGTCGCAGAGAGGATTAGGGATACATTAGAGGACCAACTTAGTGAGTTCTTTGATGTGTGGCAACCTGTTTTAGATCATTTATCAAAGCATAAAGTTCTCTCTGATCGGTCACAAAAAACAGTCTGCCACCCAAGCGTTCTACTTGTGTTTATTGTTGGTGTTGAAGTAATATTTTTGTTGTTGCAGTGTAATCTTTTGCCTTGTTTGTGTGTTCTTGCCCTTGTTGTTGCTTTGTCTGTTCTTTTTTCCCCGTTATATATCAGAAAATCTTAATAAACATATTATTTTTAAAAAGAAAACAAGAGTAATCGGTTCAGTTTCTTCCCATTCTGTCCTTTTTAGTTGGCTTTAAAAGGACGGGGACTATTGATAGTTCTCAGAAAAATCCAACATACGCCTTTGAAAAATGTTTTTGTTATGTCCTTGGTTTGGTTTGAATGTTAGGTAATAAATCTTAATACCGAATAAATGAATAGATGATGAGATCATTGCAGAGGACAGAAAAAATACAATAAAAGACATACAGATCTCTTTAATTACTGAACTGTATTTGATTTTTGTTTAATTTATTACATTTAATTGAGTTATTTTTTTATTTTGCTGTTTTCTTTTTCTAATTAATTTTTTGTTTTTTTCATATCGTCCTTCACCTTATTTTTCTTCATGTTAATGTTAACAGAGTTTTGCTTTGATTGCAGTACATCAGAAAAGTACCGATAAATGTGTAAGTTTAACAGGAGGAAGTTGCTTAGCTTGTTGCTTCTCCTGCTTTTTGACACCTCAGCTTTTTGTTCTTTATTTCTTTTTGCTTCTTTTGTGATTTCACCTTTAATGTGGTTCATCTCAGTAAAACTACTCAGAAATCATGGATCACCCTCTTCCACTTAGATATTTTAAGAGTGCTCATGATTGTTGTACTCTTCCTCTAGTTCCTGGGTGGTACCATGATCATCATCATTGGGGGGATCATCGTGGCCTCTGTCCTCGTCTTCATCTTCATTCTCCTGATGAAGTACAAGCTGCACAGTAACCACTACAAGCAGAAAGCTGTCGCACGCCACGCCAACGTCTGTTCCCAGACCAACGGAGGAGGAGGTGGAGCCAACATCCTTGCTCTGCCTCCATCGTCCTCCTCTGCAGGGCAAGGTAAGATGCTGAGAAAAGCGAGGTGACGCCGCATTTAGTCATTCAATAATTTGACTCTTTTTTCCAGGTGGAGGCATTAATAGAAACTCCCAACCGTCATCGTCGACAGATGGGATGGGAGGAGCTTCTCTTCGAGGGACGACTGTAGTGGACTTAAATCCCGCCCATGACGATGACATTTCCCAATAACACACAAGAAACAGTCCAACCCACAGCCCACCAATCTCTAAGCCCAAACCAATACTCCACCTCCCTCCCCCTCTTTTTTAATTTGTTGCTGGTGCCTGGAGCCAAGCTCCACTTTAAGCCGAGGAGCAGCTCCTGTCATTGGTGAGTATTTGAATTAGTCACATACAAAAGAGCATTAGACAAGTCAACCTGTGAAAGTTCATTTCTGCTAATTTAACATCTGACATTCAGTCTAAACATACATTTGATTTCTTACACACTGCTCATATTCAAACAGGAAGCGCAGCAGGAACACAAAGACTCTGCCAGCTGGTGATTCAAACCCAGGACCTTCTTTCAGTGAGGTCACAGTGCTAACCACTGTACCTTTTTACATCTTTGGCTGTGTGGTCACCTGTGGTCACAACTGGTCCAGTTCACCTCCCTTTCTTAGCCGCTCTGCTGCAAAGTATTTCTCTGGTGCAAACTCTATATCTGACAGCAGGACAGCTGGTGGGACAGGTGCATGCATCTAGCAAGGAGCTCAACGGTCAATGGTTTTTGCTGCCCCTGTAAGAAAAGACTTCAGTTAAATATGGTGCTGCCAGGGAGATGAGGGAAGAGAGAGTTTCATTTGAAGTTTGTTTGAAATTGAAATGTACGGCAGGCGGGCGCTGGGAGAGAAAGTGATGGAGAGGACAGGCTGTAAGTTGCTTTAATAAACCTTGCGGACAAGGTTCATTTAGCTTGCATGACTGAACACCGAGCTCTTCCAATAAAAAATGCACTTTAATGAGCAGTCACTCATATGGATGAAATACGCACAAGAGCGCCGGCTCAGTGGGGTGCTGCAGTCGGACGATGGTGCTGCAGACCTGCACAAAGTTTCAGCACTTCAACTGATTTCATATGATATCAGTGTTGTCACTTTTTTTTTTATATTTTCTTGAGTGTTATAACAATAACACTGTGAACTGATAACATGCACCTACTGCTATCAGTCTGCTTATTAGAGCGTGAGCATCTCACTGATGCATTGCTACACTGGCTCATTCATAAGGCTTAATAAAGTAAAAAGACGTGACCGGGTGATGCACATCATTAGATTAGTCCATTTAAAATGTCTTTTATTTCTTTTTTAATTCTTTTTTGGGATTCTTTTCTGTCTTTGGGAGAAACATTTGCAAAATCTTGTCAGAGCCATAGCTGAACTGTTTTTAGTTTTGAATGTGCAAAAAACTGAAGATGAGCAGAAATTTTGCTCAGACACATACAAGCTAAAGTTCAGGGTCGATGAATTCATCAAAGTGACATTAAATAATTTGAGTTTTTAATACTCAAAATTTTTACGTACTTTAAGCCCCGAGTAAATAATTGGGGATTATTTTTCTCCAGAATGAGCTAATCTCTTCAATTCAGAGTTAATTAGTAATGACTCCTTAGAAAGGAGAATGTGATCTCATACTACAGGAGAGGAGGTAGCTGAGGTAGCGGAGGAGAGCGCAGCTGCTGGTGCCTGAAGTATTTTTACGTTTTTATGTCATTATTTTTAATGACCTTCTGCGTGTTCTTAGATGAGCGACAGGTTGTTCTCACAGCTGAGTGACATGACTCATGCAATCACTTCAGCTTCACTTCTCAGAACATCTGTGTGACCCATACAATCACAGTGTACCTTATTTTACCTGTATAGGTACACCCACTTGTAACTAAGTCAATAATTTCTAAGGTTGACTGTCGACAGTGGGCGGGTATTTGCACCCTGAAACTCATAGAGGCCAGCTGTGTACCTCTGGTGGCAATTACGTACATTAATGCAACAGTAACCTTTAGCGCTTCTGATCTGACCGCCTAGAGCTTCACCTACAGCCGGCTCAGCAAGCAGTTCACTAAACATTCATGCCTCTGGACTGTGGGAGGGAACTGAAGCAGTCAGGGGGAAAAGCCACCAAGCACAGGGACAACAAATCCTCCACGAAGGCTTCTTTGTGTGAGGCAGCAGTGCTAAACTCTGCACCATCATGCTGCCTATGTATTCAGCAGACTTAGAAATGTGTATTAAGCTAACACAGAAAAATGTGTGTATTTTTTAACATAAGTTCTTAGCAGTTATTTCTTTTATTAGTTCATTTAGGAAGACTTTAAACAAAAGGTACCTTTAAATACATTCTCACTCACTACTAACATCCTTCATTATTTTGCACAGAGGTGATCCTGTAAACTCAGCTGATTTCTTCTTTTTGAGAAGCATTCTGACTGAAGCTATTTTTGTCTTTTATTTGACAGTGAAAAGAAACTATTTGAAGCTTTATTACTCGCTGTCTCTGCACCTCGGACTAACACGTGGTCTCTTTCAGTTCCTGTTGCCTGTCCCTCCCAATGCAAACAGTTTTGTCTCCTCCTCCGTGTCCCTCCTCTCTCTGCTCCATCGTTATTTGTCTGATTTTAATGAGTTGTTTTGTTTTGATGCTTCCTATCTCTTTTCTGCTCCTTTCATTTCTGAGATCAAGGTCGTTCTGTTTGCACGCTATCCTTCACTATAGCTTTTCTCTTTATCTTGTGATATTTCTGCTACCAATTTCACTCCCAAATTGAGATGTATGCCCTATCTCGACGTATCCTTCAAAGCGCTCGGGGATTCTCTCCTCTTCACACAATTTATTAGCTATTTCTTTTCTTTTCATCTCTGTATGAATTGAAAGATTGGTCGTGTGTAGTTCAAGGGATGGAGCGTGACACTAACACTCAGGTGTGGGCATCTTCATTCGCTGTTAAACCAAAAAGGCAGAAGAAGGCATCGGTGCCTGTGGTTCACGTGCCCACTGTGGTCTGAGACCTTTATATTTCTGTCTCTCTCTGATAATATTTCATAACGAAAATTACAGGGAAAAAAAATGAGATTAGCTCTTTAACGTGTTGTCTCGTTTCCAATCTTGGGTTTCTTTGCTGCCATTGCCTTTAATATTAAATGTAACGTAGCATGCAGTGATTTCATGTGGGTTGGTTTTACTTCCTATAGACCATTAAAGAGGTTCATACATGATTTCCTTTAGTGTTGGTTATGGTCTGCATGTTAAGTGATTACACATCGACCGTGTTTCTGGTCCCAAGTCCATTCTTGGAGGTTGGGGTTCTGCAGTATTTTCAAAGCACTGGCTGTATTGTAATGCTTCAGACATGGGTCACCGTCTTGCCAAGTCTAGGCTTCCTTGTGATTTCCTGAGTGAGTGTGGGAAAGTAGAATGGGAGACAGAGCCTTCAGCCGTTATGTCCCTCTCCCTATTTGTGCTCAGGAGACACACACTTCTGCTTTTAAGATTTGGCTGCAAACTTTCTCCTTTTTTTGGCTTTGTTAGAAGTCTTCTTATTCAGTAGAAAGAGCAGCAGTTCTGTTGTAACTGTGGAACGTGCAGTGTTTTAAATTTCAGGTAGTCTACGTTTCAGGTCATTGATACTAGTTTCCTCATCAGTAGTTCTCTTTCCTTTACGCTGCTTACATGGCTACACTTCAGTAGTGGTTAAATTTAGCAGATTCAGTATTACATCAGGATGAAACCATACAGAATGAGCATATATGGATAAAAGGAAACGCAGTGTAATATCCCAAATTATAAGCCAACTCCTCATCTTCCTCTGTGTTTAAACCTGACCAGTCAGAAGCTTTAATGGTTTAAATTTGCCTTCTGAAATTCATTTACAGCTGACTCACTCCAACAGACATACTATAATCAGACTTAAAGAAACTCTAGATTGGCAGCGTTAGTGCTACAGACCCATAATGCAACACTGCAAGGCTGAAGGGGCTTTCACACAGGATGTAACAATGGTGCTCCTGCCCTCTGAAACTCATTTGTTCCCATGCATTATGTGGTTCAAACATGGTTTGTCACTGTGGAGCGTAAGCACACGGCACACAGCTCAGGAACTCTGTCACAGCCAATAGAAATGAGGCATGCAGCCTGCAGGGAAGCACAAAGGAAGAAAAGCTGATGGTAAGTGTGGATAGATTCAGTCATAGGATACAAGTTTGCATTTGTAATGACAGCACAGTTTTGCATCCAGGTAGACATGTCAGGTCGCTGTGTGTAAACACACTTTAGATTTGTTGTGTGTTCTTTCCAGCAGCTGCAGATCAATGCAAAGCTTCTTAGGTATGCTAATTATGAGAAGAGTTAGAGTTTTTCTGAATATTTCAGCTCTGCGCCCGCTGAAGATTTTAAAATCGGTGAACATGGTGGCGAGCTCAGAACTCGCCTTTGTGAAAACCCCATCACCCTTTACACCTGTGCACCTCTGATCAAAGACAAACAGATGCTTTTGGCTGAGATTTTATATGATCATTGTCCAGGAATCCTTGTGCTTATTTTTCCGCCTCCCCTCGTTTCTCTCTCACTTCTTCTAACCTCTATTTTTACACTTATGAGTTGTTCTTTCCTCCCTCTTTTATCTGGCAATCGTGACCTTTATTTGGGAACGCTTTGTCATCTCTTCCCCCTCTTCCTCTGAATATCCTCTCCTTTTGCTCTGTCCTCCCTTCCTGTTCTCCCTGTTATCTTTTCTCTCTTCATTCATCATATCCTCCCTGTAATAATATACCTCTCATCTAAAAACTCACATTCTGCACACACACTTGTCCGTACACACAATGAAACACTCGTTTTTTTCCTAATGGAAGCAATCTCAGCGTTCACCACTGACCCTTTGGCCATTTGTTGTAGGTCCAATATGTACCACATACATTCACACAACAGAAACCACACAGAGGTAATCTCAACACACCTGCTTCCTCTCCAAACCAAATGAACTGCTGGTCAGCCTGAGTCACTGCTCCCTGAAGGACCATCAGTATCTTACCTGTTAAACATGCACATGGCCAAACAAAGCTTTACAAACACACAGCGAATCTTTACATGAAAAGGTTTAGTTCAGATTTTGCATCACTCCCCAGCATAGTGTTTCCAGATGTTGCAGGTGATTCCCTTTCGCTCGTACAAACATCATCTGGATGGATTGGCTTAAATTTTGGGACTAACATCTGTCTGCCTCCTAAACAATCTTTAGAATAATAGTTAACCTGCTCTGACTGTGCCTGCTCATATTAGTATGCTAACTAATAATTAGGTTGCAAACGATCACTGAAATATATTTCTGACAGATGAAATCGGACCACCATTTTTTCCCCTAGCTCAAGTATAGAAAGCTTAATCAAACCTTCCTACTTCTTTCTCATCCAGAAAAGAAAAGTCTGTTTCTGTTATACAGAGCCAAACTTAAAGTGGTGAAGGAGATCCAAGACACATGCAAAGGTGGACCTGCAGGCAGCCAGGTTACTTTTTACAGCGAGCCGTGGGTTTGCACTGTTTCAGGCTTTTATTAACGTGTCTGCACAGAGATCATTACACAATAAAAATGCCTTTTCAAGATGGTTGTGGTTTTCTGTGTTTATACTGTGGTGTGTGAGGCATTAGCGATGTATTGTTTGGGTATTCTGGGTTCTTAAGGGCTGTTCAGGGCTTTTCTGTGCATGCTAGTCTATGATAGAGGATCTATCAGACTGATATCTAGGGAGTTTGGAGGCTGGGAGGATGCCTTGTTTTCTATGAGCTTTTCCTGAGCAGGATTTGTAGTGTAATGTTGGGCGCTGGTTGCTTTGAGGAGGCTAGTGCTTAGTCAAGGTTTGGGTAAGTGATATCTGTCAAAATAAATCCACCTGAATCCCAGAACTGAAGATTACATGGGATATCATACTGAGATCATAAATACTACGGACTTCTCTGGTGGGTTTTAATGTTGTGGCTGCTAAGGTGTACTTTGAGGTAAGATGATATGTAAAACTTTGTAGATTAGTGTATAGCAGGGATAGAGAACCCTATTATACAAGCACCAGGATGGCTACATGCAGTGCCCTCATTGGAGCATCGCTGCATGTAGCCAACAAGTAGCGACAAGGGGAGTAGATAAATGCTAAGACAAAAATGTCCTTTCAGCAAAGTTGACCTTTCAGAGAAATGAAGCTTGCACTACACAAAAGTGGACATACACCAAGCTATAGAACTGCCCACAGTGAACAGAAATGCACACAGTAATTCAGGCCTGCTGGCTCTCCAATGCAATCCCACCATCCCATCTCATGATTACCTCAAATAGAGAGAGAGAGTGCAGAGAGGCAGGCAGACACCGGCAGATATCATCACAGGGTGTTCTGTAAAGCCACGAGGCACCAGGGCATCATTCAGTGTGCTTTTATTATCCGAGCCTGGCACTTAAGCAGCACGATGGCACAGTGACTAAACTTCAGCCGCAGTGGAGCCTTCGCTGAGGCCAGCAGACCCTGCAAAGAGTCTTAGTGACACCTAGTGGTCACGCCACACAGTGATTTCGATCATCTGCTTTTATTTTTACCCTCATGTATCTAGGGAAAACAGAAGGATGCTGTCATTCACATTCATGCATTCACACTCGCACTCGCACACACTCACACTGGGAGCTTCCCAGCTCAAACAGCTCCTGCTGCTGAGGGCTGCTGCAGGGGAAGACAAAGATTTCAGAGTGAATCCACTAAGACAGTCATGATTCTGTGTCATTTATAAGTAAGTGCTCATCATGGGGAGTTCACAGGAACTGGATAAGCACCTCCATCCACCAAAAGCAGTAAGCAAATACCAGTTTACAGCATAAATAAAGCTCCTTAGACTAGTATACAATAGAAGTGGTAAATGGCCTGCATTTGTATAGCGCTTTACTTCCCTAAGGACCCCAAAGCGCTTTACACTCCATTCACTCATTCACACACACATTCACACAATAGAAATTACTCCAATTCTGCACACCTTATTGTGTTTTTCATTCATGATTCTGTAATTGCTATAAGCACCAAGTCTACAAGGTAAACAGCTGCCTTAGCAGACAGAGCTGCCATGTTCAGGTCTCTCCGCTGACGCTCTGTGAGATATAAGCCTGGGGCCAGCCGAGGATGAGCAGAGACTTTCCCCAAAGCTGGGCCAGTGTTTTCTTTTCTGCTGTGTGCTAAACTCAGATAGGTGTTGATATCCTTTATTGACCCAGGCCAGATGTAAACCCATGCCTTCTTCAAGGACCCAATGAGAGGAGGATTAACTTTGAGTAAACCCTGCCTGCTCCACATGCAAGGGCCCTACTTTAAACCCAGGACCATTTTGCTAACCAGTTAGCTACTGTGCTGTACAGAGATTAAGTATCACACTCTGTTTTCTTCACTCTGTATTTTGCAAAATGATTCTTCCCTCTGACTCAAAAAACTGAAGGCTCTGCTTCCCATTCTACTTTTAAATACTCTAGTGGCTTGTTATGCTTGGTGATGGCATGCCAACTCTTGGTGAAGTCCTGGTGGTTCCAGACATCTTCTGTTTCATATGGCAATGGCTCTATTATATTCGAGCTTGCTTTTGTCTTGGCATAATATGTACATTGCAGGACATTAGGAAGCTGTGAATGACAGGGAGGTGGCAAATGTAAGTGACAAAGAAGTTATGAAGAGTATTGCTGGCGTGGTCGGGTTCTATTTGGAAATGGTTTGTGAGTATGAAATTTATGTGAATTTATCACCAGAGCACGATACTAATGACATGTATGGACATCAGATGTTGGTATTTAAAATAATTATCAATACAATTCAATTCAGGTAGATTTATATATTACCAAATTACAACAACATTTACCTCGATGTGTGCAATACTTCAAGACAAAGACCCTTAAAGTATAAAGTATGAAACATCAAGTGAAGAAACACGTCAGTGGCATTAGTCACAGATCAGCTAGATGTGCTATACCTGTGCTATACACCAAGGTACTATTTGAAGCTTCAGGAATGTCAGCAGCATGTAATCTGTCATTCTACAGCAAAGCCGCACATGAAATGAGGTAGTTTAGAAAGTGGTCATTCTTTAAATGTGATGTTCTTTAAAATGATAGATATATTAGCTTCCTATAATAATAATAGTAATAATAATAATAATAGTAATAATAATAATAATAGTAATAATAATAATAATGACAATTATGTATTTACCATATCTGTTAAAAGATAAGTTATTTCCCTTTTTGTTCCATTCCTTATATACAGAGCTGCTTAAACTGAATAAATTGTGTGAGAGCCCATTAAGAGAAAGCAGTGAAGTCCCAACTGAGGCTCTGCTGTTTCCTGATATCTATTTTTACAGGGAGGCCTTTGAAATATAATTTGCAGCATAACATTGCCAATGGCTGCATAAACCCTTTGACAAAAAAATAAAACAAACGTTATTTGTTAATCTCCATCTGAAAAGACCTGCGTAAATGTGCAAGGAAGTAGAAAGCGACGCTGTCAACAGTGGGCTTATATATCGTGAAGGAGAGAGCAGCCCAAAGATAGAGAGAGAGAGAGACAGAAGGGAGGATTATGGTCTTAGTATATTTAGTCCGTGAGACAGATGAGGAGGCAAAAAAGAGAAATAAAGCAAAACGACCAACCAAACAGAGAGAGAAGTGGAGATGAGTCACTGAGCCCCGAGACAGTTATTGACAAGAGAAGATGGAGGGATAAAGAGAGATGGAGAGAAAATAAGGGCTCGGTGATGTGGGAGAGGTGGTGGTGGAGGGG